CTAACTGTAAAGTGTTTTTACTCAACTTGGAGTTTCGATTCGGGACCAAGCGCATCTTGTGCAGAATTTTTCGCTGATTCCGAATATGTTTTCCAAATTTGCTACGGACTTTTATTTAAAAAATCATTTTTGGTAACAATTAGGCCGAAAAATGCTAAAAATTCAGACGCTGGCCCACTATTCCTTGTTTGGGGCTATGGTGCCCAGGGGCCCTGAAGTACCCTCTGACAGCACCCTTCCCAGTTGGCACCATGGTGCATTGGCAAAGTACTCGCTTGCCAAGCGCAGGGCGGCGGTTCGAACCCCCGCCCTGCATCATTTCTTTGCTTTTTTGCATAAAAATCTAATTTTTTTATCTAAAATGCTTGTTTTGAGCTGTACGATGCTTGTCGAGCCAACGTCTAGTCAATTTTGACGTTGAAATTAATGAAGAAAATCGAGAAATATAACGATACCTTCATTTTGGTGAAAACTAGGGTCATAATTGCCGTATAACTTTCAGAATAACGGTCCGTAGCAAATTTGGAAAACATATTCGGAATCAGCGAAAAATTCTGTACAAGATGCACTTGGTCCCGAATCGAAACTCCAAGTTGAGTAAAAACACTTTACAGTAAGCAAATAGATCCCAGGAAATATTTATTCTGAAGACTAAAGACTATCGAAAGACGCCAAATTTTGGTCAAACAACCTATATTTTGTGTATTTTTACCGGAATTTTTAAGTTGTTCCATTAATTAGCTGTGAAAAACAGCTCAGAAACAGTGATGATGCGCTCCAGCTGGTGCAAAAACAATCCTGACGACTGGAAAAATGCAAAATATAAACTAGGCAAGAAAAACCCGGAATGTATTTAGCAAAATTGCATAGTTTCAAAAAGCCAATCGTATTTCAGCCATGTTAGCCCTCCTATTCTACCTTAAAATTTGCAATAATCACCCCGAAGAGCCACCCTATGACTCACCCCCTGACATCCCTCCGCCAACGGAGCCTCCAGAGCCCCCGCCGGAAATCATTCACTTTTTGGGCGAAGCTAAATTGGTGAGTGCCATGGGATTTCCTGAGTTTTCTTTGCTTGTTTAGCCAGACCCAAGCCCGCTCGGAACGAGAATTTCCCTAAATAACTCGGCAACCGTCGGACAGTACCTGCATATCCTGGGGAATACCACCGAAAATGCGACATCGTAAGAAACTAGTTATAAAATTCGGTATCTCAAAGATTTAGATTTTGCGTGACACTGTCCGAGGACCTTGACAATGACGAAAATTATGCTTGCGAAGTATGCGCTTATTTTGGAGCCGGTAAGTTAGGGTTGAGGCTGAAAAATCGATGTCTTTTAGACCCGAAAATCGAGTATGCCGCATATAATTATGGGAAGCGAATTTTTAATGGAACGGGTTTGAATCCGTTTACGGTAAGTGCTTTCTGGATTTGTTCTGTATCGTACTCGTATTTGCTGCTTTTTTGATTGTAAGCTGAAGCCAAAGCCTAAGCCAAACCCTGTCACGACGCAGCGGAATCCTAGTTTTTACTACTCTTATTTTCCCCTTAAAAGCATTTTTTTTCAGCCAGGCGAACAATTTGACCTCCGCATCCGCTTCCTCCAAGACTACGTACAAATTTTCGCAGAACGAGGAGAAATCGGCATCTTTGGAAAGCTACAAGAGGTACATGAGGTATCGCAGGATCGTTTAGATCAGGATTAAATCATATTTAAGGCAAAAAGTCTAAAAATCATTGGCAACATCACAAATCTGTTGCTGCTGCAATTAGAGGGTGGCAATTACACGATGCCGTTTTACCAGCCGATAAAGTCTAAAGTTGGACTGCGATTGGATATGGTGTTGAAGCCCGTGCCGGAAAGTAATGTTTTTAGATGAAAATTATGTTGACACTACCTATAAGGCCCCTAAAACGCATTGAAATTATAGATTTGGCCAACATTGGTCGAAAATTGACGTTTTCTAGATTTTATCTGGGCGCTATGAACTTTTCAATAATAAGGATATTTAATAAATATTCCGTTTTAGTGGACCCCTCGCTATGGGCAGCGCTGATCGAAGGTCAACCTCTTGAAAGTAAGAAAATATATTTAACTAAAGCTAACAAGTATAAAGTGCAAACCACAGGTATACAAACAAGTATAATTTCCAGCCGCGACGAACAGCTCGATTCGCGTGAAGCGGAAAGGTGGTTCGGGTGGCAGCCGTGGCAGTAGCGGAGCACGAAGTAGCTCTCGCAGTAGCTCCCGTGGCAGCTCAAGTTGGGGTAGATCAAGCAGCTCGAGCAGTAGCAGCTCTGGTGGCTGGTTTTCATCAAGTGGTTCGTGATGCTCCAAAGCGGTAACGAACGAAAATTTAGGCAAAAGCTCTGGTGGTGGCGGTGGGCAAACAAGCTATGGAGGCGGCAGTTACTCGGGCCATAGCTACAAACCTCCGCCACGCATCACGTCGTTTAGGATGAGGCCGACTTATGGGTCAAGTTATGGCACAAGCTATAGGCGCAGTACGATGGGCGCGTATTGGTATTCGCCGATGCATGGAGGTAGGTGAAAATTTATCGTTATGCTTAGGAGTAGTCTTACTTTAGGCCTAAGCTTAGGCTTCGGCGGGCTTGGGCTTAGGCTTAGACGGAGCGAGGCTAGGTTTAGACTCGGGCTTAGGCTTAGGCTCGGGTTCAGATTCGGACTCGGGCGTTGGCTTCGATTGAGGCTTAGCGCTGCTTATACTGAGGCACATGCTTACAAGGGAAGGTTGTTTGGGTCAGGTGTCAGATCGACTTGAAACTTTGCCAGTGGATAGAAAATCAAAAATAAAGTGGAGTTTCTTAATCTCATTTTTTGCACAATACCCCAAATTAAAAAGTTATAGGTCATTGAAGTTACATAGAAAAGCACGAAACGACCCGACAATTCTGATCTAATCCTCATTGTGGCCTGCCCCCTTTTCAAGCTCTTGCGTCGCCCGGACCGGCAAGCCGTTTGGCGCAGTAGGTAGTGCCGTAGAGTGCAAAACTTTTTTAAATTTTTGTAATCGAGTTCAAGTCTTTGATGCGTCCAACTTTTTGCTTTTTGGATCTTACGCCAACTAACCCTAATTTGCAAGAGCAAAAAGCAAAAAGCAAAAGGATAGAAAAGTTTAAGTCTCGAACTTTCGCCAAAAATTTTTCAAAAGATTGTGAGTCAAGGGCACCACCGATTGCGCTGCAAGAGACGTGGGGGAGTGGCGACGAGAGAGGGTCAAGAAGCCACCGGTGAAAAAATGTGGAAACGGTGCGGTATTGGTGCAAAAACCTGCGAAGAACTCATTTTTCAGACCACAAACTTAAAATGCTTATAACTTTTAATTAGGGGTATTGTGCAGAAAACGACTTAGCGCACCTTGTTCCGTTTTCAATTGTCTATCCACTGGCCAATTTTCAGAAAGATTTGACACCTGACCCAAACAACCTTCCCTTTAGGTTATGATTAGACTTAAGCTAAAGTTTAGGCTTAGGCTTAGGCTGCTGCTGGGGCTGAGCCTTACAATTAAGCTGACGCTTCGGTTTGGGATTAGATTTGGGCCAGCGTAGGCTCGAACGTAGACGGCTTCATCCAAACTGCCCCACTAAATATATTTTTGTAGGATACTACCACACGCCACCAATCCAATCGAGCACGACCCCCACGGCTCGTTTCTACTCCCCGGCCTCATATTCCTACCGTAACCCGCAGAATAACGGTACTATGGAATATTCCCTAAGTGATGGTCACGGGCAAAACCCCGATCCGAACAATGTCGTAGATCCGAAGCTGATCCCGAAACGTCAGTCATTTTCGATTTCCGGCCACCCAAATTTTCAGCCAAGCGAATCGAAATCACACTCTACTCCTTCGGTCCGGACCCCGAGAAGGACTACCATTGGGGCCTGGCGCGAACGTTCCGGGTATTATTCCTGTCGCAATCCGAAGCATCTAAGGCATTTAGCTCTCGTTTCAATTCGACAAAAACATGACGGCAATGAATCGGTATTCCCCGCTAAGGATCTTCAATGACGTGAAACAAGCCGATTTTGTGCCCATGGATGATTGGAGACTGTGGGTCGGAAGCTATTTGAAAAACACGGCTATTTTTTTAGTCATAACGCTTTTGATGCACCGTTTTCCAGGTTCGATTTGTCGATTCAAGCGGCATCCGACCGGCTTCGCATCTACGTCAACAATTATGAATTTGCCAACTATGAATTGGACGCGGTTCGTGCAGGGATCGATCATATTGGAATCAACGGGGATGTTGAGGTATCGAAACATTAACTACTGGACTTTTAAACAAATTTAGGTGCTCGGGTTCGAGGGGAACAGTCTAAACGGCCCGCCGGGCATCTTAGACCCGATGGCTGTCTTATACCGTCTTTCCAATAATTGAGATTGTCTTGAATTACGTCCTTGATCACGGTGCTGCTTGCCTTAGGTTTTCCTAAAATTTTTCGTCTCCTAGCCTCAGGAATAGCTTTCGCAGCATTTACATACCTTTTGATGTACAGAAAAATCACGACGGTTCGTTCCGCTTGTCTTTATTACTATGCACTGTATACAAATTTGTGATTAATCAATAAAATGGGTTGCTTAAGAAAGTGGTGATTAGGTAAATTCGCAAAAACTTTCTGCCTTAAAGGGATACCCAAGGTTTTGGTGGCAAATATATAGTTATGTATTGTATGTTATGTATGTATTCCGGGCAGTACAAATGACGCGGGAATTTTGTGTGGCAATGAGGCGCCAGTACCGCACAAAATTCGGACACCTTTCCCTCTTGCGGCGTCCCCATCCCACCCAATGACTTGCCACTATAGCCTAATGGATAGCATCTAGGCCTACAAATAGGTCCCGGGTTCGACCCCCGCCCGCGGCATGGTTTTTGCTTTTTGAGCCCCGAAAAGGTTGGGCATCCCTTTAACTGAAAAATGGCCACCCAAGCGGAGGAAAATGCTCACCTTTTTCCGAGAACGACGCGCTAAATAGTTTGCCTAAATATTTTTCCTGGTATTTTTACGGCATTCAAAAGACGCTATTTTGTTCGTTTTTCGAGCTAAAAATCGTTGTATATTTTTTCGAAATGGTCGACCGGGAGAAAAAGCGCACTCCTACCGTTCTTTAGTCAGTTACAAAAAAATTCAACCTTGAAGGCCGAAAACCTAAAAACGCGCTGTATTTCGCGCAACTCGGGAGCTGTCAGCTAAAGAGGGAGAGGCTGTATGTAAGTGAATCGATATTGCGCGCACCGGGCCCCGGGGGCATTCCTTACACCCAGCTGACCGCCGCCCCTCTTTGGGCCTACCCGACGAGGAAAACACATTTGAAGCCCTCGTGTTCTTTGACTACAAACGATAATTACTGCGAAGCTGCTATTATTTTATGAATAGAAATCGGCGCTATGATCATGGCAATGAGGGCCGGCCGCCCGAGGTCGAGAAATCGAGCGCACGTTTTGCGGTCGCCATGATTGCTGGTGGGTTCCAGTTTATCGTTACAGAAAGCAGCAAAACCATTTTCAAAAAGTATAATCATCCTTAAAAATTGAAAAACAAGTAAATTTAAATTTCGCATGCGAATACGTACGTGATGGCGTAGATTCGCATGCGTATGCGCGAATACGTACGTTTTTATGTCAATAGTCCTCAGGAGTATCGCAAAAAATAAGTAGCAATCACCATGTTTAATAATAAAAATCAGGACGTACATAAAGAGTACTAAAAATTATATAAGAATTACAAAGCAAAATTTCTCTAATTTCAGCAATGATTGTTTTATGTCTTTACTTCCAAATCGATTTCACCGAACCGGAAATCCCGCCCGAAGTCGTACACTTTTGGGAAGAAGCCCATTTGGTACGCGATTTTTCGTTCATAATTGCATTTTAATTTTCTACCGCTTCCGAACAATTTTTCCTTTCTTTAGGAAGACCCAGATCCCCTCGTCGGCACCGGAAAAATTCTGCAAAACCCCCCAAAAATTGGCCAGTATCTTCACATCTTGGGCAGTCCTACGAAAAACGGGGAATCGTGGGAAATCTATGAGTTAGGGCAATTTTTCGATTTTTCAGGTTTTGCGTAAGGTTGATGAAAGATTTTGATGACGAGAGGAATATTGCTTGCCGTGTTTGCTCATATTTTGGAGCAGGTATTTCAGAGAATAATAACAAATACTTGTTTCAGAGCCGAGAATTGAATACCATGCTTATCAGAATGGCACCCAGCTTTTTGACAACAAAGGACCAAACCCTTTTGCGGTAATTGGGATTTTTTTAGTTATTTTTAATAAGCTTTTTAAATTTTTCAACGAATAAACGACTTTAGCAAGGAGAACAGTTTGACCTCCGCATCCGCTTTCTTGCCGAATATGTCCAAGTTTTTGCGCAACGAGGTGAAATCGGAATTTTTCGAAAGCTACCGGAGGTGCACGAGGTGAGTCGGATTTCCAGTGCCCATACCTAAAATTAGGCGACTCTCCTAAAAGTCAGCGGCGACGTGACCAATTTGCGGTTGATGGAGGTTGATGGTGGGCAGTATGCGACGCCGTACTATCGAAGGATAGATTTTGGGTCGAGACTGGATATTGCGTTGAAGCCGGTCGCTGAAGGTAAGACTCGATCTACTCTCTCTCTCTCTCTCGCTAGCTCTCTCTCTCTGTCTCTCTCTCTCTCTCTCTCTCTCTCTTCCTCCTTTGTCCCGATATGGCTGAATTTATTTATTAAAGCTATTATACCTTTCCAGTGGACCCAGCCCTCTGGCAATCGCTTATCGAAGGCCAGCCACTACAAGGTAAAATGCTTAAACGAAAATTTTACTAATCCATTAGATTCCACAACCCGCGTCAAGCGCAAAGGCGGAGGCGGAGGCGGACGTGGCGGTGGGGGAGCGCGCGGAGGTGGAGGATGGGGAGGCGGATCTCGAAGTGGGTCGGGCCGTAGCGGAGGAAGCTCCCGAGGTGGCGGCTTTAATTGGGGTGCAAGTGGCAAAGGTATGTTACAAACCGAAAGCTTAAAAATGTGGCTATCCTGTGCAGCATCCACCTTCAAGACATCAAGCCGGTCTTCGTATCGTACCTCAGCGATCAGGAGCGGTCCCAGTGGTGGTTACGGTCATGGCCGGAGTAATATGGGATTCTACTGGTATTCGCCGATGTATGGAGGTTAGAAAGAATGTATATTTTATGAAAAGATTTTATAAATTATTATTTTATTATAAGTTTTTATAAATTATTTTTGGAGATAAATTTGACTTCTTTATTTGGTTCCACACTAGTTTTCGGGCCTGAGGAAGTATCCTAAAATACCACGCGCCTCTTAAGCCGACGAGAATTGCCTTCACCGCTCCTTTATACTACCTCTAACGTCAAATTAACTTTCAGGATACTACCATTCCCGTCAAACCTACTCTAGCAACAGTCATGCCAGCCCCGACCCAAGCGCCCATTTCTATGCACCGGCCTCCTATTCCTATCGTAACCCCCAAAATGGTTCTATGGCATATTCTCTAAGCGATGGCCATGGAAAACACTACAACCCAAATAATTATATTGATCTAAAGACAGTTCCGAAACGTATGTTATTTTTAGTAACATGGAATCAAATTTTTAGCTCAAATAATCGATATATTATTCTACAAGGGCGGCGATAACACCACCGATCCCGATGGGTTGATGCCGACATTTAAGGTAATTTTATGAGGATAAAAAATCTTGATACCGTTACCGTTTTTGGTACCGGACTATTAGCGGGGGGAAATAATGTTTCAATGTACCTGTTGATGATATATAATATTTTTTATCGTATTTTAAAGATTTTTGGTTGCTAGAAGGTTTGCAAAAAAACTCAGACTTATTTTGAACCGGTCCCATTCATATATCTATTTTTAGGTCTCATTCCTCTTCTCCCAAAATGCCACCACACTCAGCCGGCGTGTCCTGCAAAATTGGGTAAACGAGGAACGCGCCAATTTCGTGCCGACGGACGATTGGAGAATGTGAGTCCGAGCTGGCACTTCTCTGATCTAGATTAAAAAGCCGTATCCGAACCAAAAATTTATATCGACTATTTCAGATTTGATTTGGTCATCCGGTCTGCAGAAGACAGGCTCAAAATCTACGTCAACAATTTTGAATTTGCAAACTACGAATTATACCCTGAAATCAAGGCCAGCGAACATATCGGAATTACAGGCGATGTGGAGGTAATCACTTTTTGTGTTGAATTTACAGTAAAAATTTATTTATTAGGTCCTCGGCTTCAAGGAGAATGGGATACTCGCTTAAAACCGGTGTTGAAGAATCGTCAAAAAACATTTTGTACATAGTTTCCTCTGTTATTGTTTGTTTTTTTGTTGAGATATATAATATTATATTTGAACATACTTGCAAAAATTAAATCCTCCACTTTATTTTTTCACTTCATCATTGTGGCTTCAGGATGCCCCGTTGTCGATTCTCAGAACACCGGTCACATTCGTGCATTTCTTAATCCCAAAATTCATATTCCCTTCATTTTTCCAAACTTTTGCAGTAATTTGTCAGATAAAATTTTTGCGAATTGTATAACACAAAAGAGCCACGGAATCACGCAATGATGGTTGCTAAAACCAGGTGACCAGCATAGAAGTCCGGGGAGCCGTCGAATCGGCCGGCTCGCCACCCACCTGGCCCACTACCCTCCAGGTATCCGATTCCTCTCCCTACCGAAATCAGCTTTGCGCAGAGGTGATAACGTGACCAATGAGGCCTAGCCGAGGTGCGTTTATTGCTGGTTGAAAACTGATACCAATTACCCGTCGCTTTCTGCCCTGAAATATGGGTGTTGGCGCAATTTTTGGACGCCCCTAGGGGGCAGCAATTCGATATGTTCAAATTTCAAGAATCCCAATGCAGTTTATTACTATTTGCCTGTTTGGGGACTGCAAAAAAACGACTACCTACTTAAGTGACGTCATAAATCTTTTCCATGCAAATTACCCATCGCTACCCGCCTATCAGCGTTTGCAGCTGCCAATGACATAGTTGCTTTCCAGCGACCACTAGTCGCAGGGCTGAAAATACCCCCGGGCCCCGGAATGACGTATTTCGGGTCGCTTCCCGGGTCCCGACTAGGGCCCGGACACGCCCATCCGGGCCCCTAGTCTAGCCTAGGGGCCGGAGGGACATCGCCACAACCCATTTCCTAAATGGTTTGACCGAAATTGAAGGCCTATAGCTATGACACGACTCTGGAATGGTGTCAAGCCAGTTACTGGGGAAGAAGCTGAAACCGCCAGACCTAAAGGTACGTGTTATATAAAAAATTAATAGAAACCTCTTAAGGTATAAAATTAGCATCTAATTATATCGAGCTAAACGGCAATGCTGGTAGAATTAGTTTTTCTCATTAAATGGTGGAAGTCTGCAGTTCATGATATTTTAATTTCAGAAGAACCTCCTGCTCCTTCCACGGGGGAGGAGCAGCCTAAACGCCAGGATGACTTAAGACGCTCCCATCGGCATGTAGTTATAGCGAGGATCATTATTCTCGTTTTTATCGGTACGTTTTAGAGGCCTAAATATGATTCGCATGGATTACTACATATGAAAATTATATTTTTCGCCATAGGCAAAGTTTTAGCATTTTACTTTTCTGAACGTAGTTAACTTTGGCTGAAAAATTTGTTAGGCTATAAATATTTTTAAATTTAGCAACGTGCCTTACCCTCCTGCGGTATTCCGACGCCGACATATTCAACCCACCCCAGGAGATCCATTTCTGGGATGAGAAACTTCCGGCAGGCTCTCCGAGCTTCCAGCGATTCTGATGTTTTTAGGCATATTGTGATCAACTAAACGGGACTCGAAAGCTTCTGGTCGACCTCCCGAAAATTGGCCAATACATACATCTCGTGGGAAACTTAAAAGGAGACGCCAAATCGTAAGGAAACATCATTTTACACGATTTTTTTTACGATTTTTAGCTTTTGCGTGTCACTCACGAAAAATTGGGACGATGTTAAGCCTGATTTTAGTGTTTGTGCCTATTTTGGGAAAGGTAACTATCAGAGCGTACTTTACCAACTGGCTTAGAATCGAAAATCGTATACCAAGCCTATCGACAAAATCAGAGAATTCATCACTATGAAGGACCAAACCCATTTGAGGTGTCTTAAAGATATAGTAAAGTGAAGTTAGACCTTCAGGACCCCAGAACAACCTTCCCAAAAATTGATCTCCGTATCCGCTTCCTCCCGGATCTTGTCCAGATCTTTGCTCAAAGAGGAGAAATTGGAGTCTTCCCGAAACTTCCTGAACTGCATGAGGTATCCCAAGTATGAGAAGCTGTAACGCAAATTTTAGTTGACCTGCTTGAAGTTGACGGGAGATGTCATCTACCCAACGCTGTTTGAAGTAGATGGCGGGATGTACATGACGCCCACGCTTCGCAGGATGAGTTACGGCGAGAGAATTGACATTACGATGAAGCCGATGGCAGCTGGTGGGTTGCACTTCCGATACAGCGGAAGTTCGGGGCTAGCGATGCCTAGGCGGCAACCTTCGAGGCCGGTTTTATCCGAAGTTTTAGTCGACCCCGCGCTCTGGGAGTCACTGATTGAAGGTCAACCACTAAACGGTAATGTTTATTACTTAAAAATCAACCTAAAAAAATTAGCTACCGTTGTAAAACTGGAGGCACCCTATCGTGGCGGAATTCCTGGTGGCAGACCAGAAGGAAAAAGCGTGGTCGAGCGAGTCGGTAAGGAATTTGAATCATATAGCAGCGTATCCCTCACCATTTAGGACAGTCAATTGGAATGGGACATGGAGACGCTCGATTTTGGGGGTATAGTCGAGCTGCGGAGCGTAGCCTGAAGAAGTCAAGAAATGGGCCTGGGTACAGTAGCTATGGGAGCTATCCGTATGCACCGGCTTTTGGAGGTAGGTGGAGAGAGAGCGAGAGCGTGATAGAAAGATGAGAGAGTGATAGCCAGAGAGCTAGAAAGAGCTAAAGAGAGATGGAGGAAACGAGAAACGCGAGCGAGAGAGAGCGAGAAAGCGAGAGAGCGAGTGAAAGCGAGAGCGAGAGAGCGAGTGAGGGAGAACCAGAGAGCGAGAGCTAGACGTAGAGGAAAGAAGAAACGTCAGTAGGAGAGAGCGAGAGAGCGAGTGAGAGAGAACCAGAGAGCGAGAGCTAGACGTAGAGGAAAGAAGAAACGTCAGTAGGAGAGAGAGAGAGAGAGAGAGAGAGAGAGAAAGAGAGTGAGAGAGAGTTGCGCATTCAAAACACCTTTCCAGGCTACTACCCTGGACCCACGCAATACTGCTCAGCTGGTCCCCATTCCTACTCCCCCGCTTCTTACTCATACCGTAACTCCACCAGCCAGCTCGTCGTCCATGTCCCCAGTTTTGGCCATGGCAAAAATCCAGATCCGAATTTTATTGTGGACGAGACCCAGATCCCAAAACGTAGGTTGCACTACGTACTCCATCGGAAAACCCGCGACAACAACTTGTATCGATTTTTCAGCACGCTCCATCAGCGTCAAATTTTTCAGGCGTAAAGTTCTGACTTTTGAGGTAATCTTTAAAGCATCATCGTAGCTTACTAGCTATTTTTCAGTTGCTCTTCTGGTTCCCACATAAAGCCGTCGTAATGAATACCTTTATTAATGGCTGCCGTCAAGAGCCGGATCAGGCCGATTTTCTGCCGATTGATGACTGGCGAGTGTGAGTTTTGAGTTATGGAACTGTAAAATTAATAAGAGATTGATAGACAATAAATATATGATTTTAGATTTGATCTAACGATAAAGCCAGAGAACGGATACCTCAAAATCTACATTAATAACTTTGCCTTTGCCCGCTACAAGGAAAACGAACAAATCAGGGCTTCGGACCATTTTCTGATTAGTCGCGATGTCGAGGTGATCAAATAAATAGAAAATTAAGAAATCCTTTTAGATTACCAACATCCAACGCAACGGAAAAATGATGCTGCCTGACTATTATTTTCCGCCTGATTGGTCATAAGCTTTTACCGGACATTCTATTAAACGGACAATTTTATTTGGGTGCTCAATTATACGGACCTCATTTTTATTTTTTTTTGCAAATAAAGTCACATTTTGATAATGAAAGACATCATTACGTCAAGATAGCGCTAGAGCAAGCTTAAAATCAAATTTTGCAAAATGCGTTTGGGCTCTCCTGGTTTGTCTTTCATATTTTTTGATAAAAAAACAGATTGGGGTGATTCTAAAAACTGTCCTGCTTCCATTCCTTGAGCGTTTCTCCAATTTGGTTTGTTGCCACCCTGAGAGTTTTCAGATGCCGTGAGAGTCGTTTAGATATGCAAAACTTCCCTTTTTCCTGTATTTCTGAATTGTACGCTTGCTGTAGCGCCCGAGTGTGCCAATGACATAGTTGGCCTCCGGCGAGCAAAGTCTTGAGTGCTAAAAATACCCACCCGGGTCCTGGTGACGTATTCGGGTCGGTCTCGACTAGGGCCCAGGCCACGCCCCTTACACGTCCTTGCCTAGGCCCTCTCGAATCTCGCCAGCCCTCAGTTGGCCTATATTATGCCGTCTGCCTGCAGCTAGCCCCTGACATGAAGCCCCTTTGTAATATTTTGATCAAAAAGTGGGGTTGGAAATTTGCGGCTTCTACCTCACAACCGGATGGTAGGTTTTTGTGTGCTTAGAAAGCTTGTTAAGCTTGATTAAACTTTTACGTTATTTCTGGTGTTAAAAGTCAAACATACATTTAAATTGGCAGGAACTTAATTTTTTTAGATTATGGCGAGCCCGGCAATACGCTCGAGTTTGCCGAGAACGCTTCTCCTTGTGTCGCCGCTGGGAAAATAGCCGCAAGAGTGCTTTGCTACATAAGCCTCTTCTTCTTTTGCTTGGGTTGGTTTTTAATATGAATTGATTGACCGCCTGTCTTACTATTCGACTCCACTCACTACTACCACTTATCTACACTTACTCGCTCACTCTCGCTCGCTCACACTTTCTCTCTCTCTCTCTCTCTCTCTCTCTCTCTCTCTCTCTCTCTCCCTCTCTCTCACGCACTCACTCCGTCACTCTCCCTCTCACCGTCACTTGCTTTCCCCTACTCTTTCTTGTTGTGTCTCTCTCTCCCTCACACTCTCTCACGCTTCTCTCTCTCCCTCCCCCCTCTATCTCTCTCTCTCTCTCTCTCTCTCTCTCTCTCTCTCTCTCTCTCTCTCTCTAAAACTCATTCAGTTATCACTTTTTTGCCTGACCGACTCCACAACTACGACCCTTCTGAAGTTTTTGCACCCGAAGAGATCCACTTTTGGGATGAAACGTTGCTGGTAAATTTTTTGGCTACTGTCATAAATTCAAAATATTTTCCGGCGAATCCCGATCGCATTAATGGAACGCAAATAACTCTTGCCGAGCCGCCAAAAATTGGCCAATACATCCACCTGGTCGGGAACTTGAAGCCGGGGGCTAAATGGTAGGAAAAGGGCTGATGGTCATTTTCCGAAATCAATTTTGCCTAAAGCCATTTTTTCTAAAAAAATTTTTCATACAAGTCATATTTCAAATTTTAGGTTTTGCGTGACGCTTGCCGGAAAATTTGACTCTCCTGGCGTGTCATCCAGAGTTTGTGCAATTTTTGGAAGTGGTAAATATCCAATTTAATGTCTTACGAGCATCACTTTAGATGCAAAAATCATTTACGAGGCTTATCGAGGCGAAAAGCGGATTTATCAACATGAGGCGACGAATCCAATTTCGGTATTTTTATATTCCGTTTTTTAATCTGGATTCCTACGCTTTCCAATGAAAAACTCCTTAAAAGAAATAATCAAGAATCCAAATAACTTCATAGTTGTCAAATTTGGATCATTTCATCAAACCACTTACCTAAAAATTTCAGGAGCCAGTAAAGACAAATCCAAAAATCGACCTCCGCATCCGGTTCCTCGCGGAATATGTCCAAATCTTTGCGCAACGCGGTGAAGTCGGGATCTTTCGAAAACTCCCCGAAGTCCATACGGTAATAGCTAATCAAAAAATTCTACTGACCATGTTTTAGTTCCGATGTCTGCAGCTAACTGGCGATGTAATCAACGCCACGCTCATGAACGTCGACGGCGCGAGGTACAGGGCTTTCACATCTGAGGGGTTCAAATATGGCGCGAGGTTGGATATGGCGATGCTGCCGATGGTAACCGGTACGTATTTGATGGTTCTCGCGCCGAGCTCGAGCAGTTCAAAGCAAGATTTAGAGCTATTGCTCTCTCTACGTTTTATAATAGCCCATAATTTAGTTGAACCCGCCGTTTGGGAATCGCTGATTGAAGGCGGCGCAATGAAAAGTAAGTTAACTTGGCTTTGGCTTAGCCTCAGGCTTGGCTGAGTCCAGGGGGGTAAAGTCACTACCCCGAAAGTCACTACCCCGAAAAGTCACTACCCCGAAAAGTCACTACCCCGAAAAGTCACTACCCCGAAAAGTCACTACCCCGAAAAGTCACTACCCCGAAAAGTCACTACCCCGAAAGTCACTACCCCGAAAAGTCACTACCCCGAAAAGTCACTACCCCGAAAAGTCACTACCCCGAAAAGTCACTACCCCGAAAGTCACTACCCCGAAAAGTCACTACCCCGAAAAGTCACTACCCCGAAAAGTCACTACCCCGAAGGTCACTACCCCGAAGGTCACTACCCCGAAAACTCACTACCCCGAAAGTCACTGCCCCGAAAGTCACTACCCCGAAAAGTCACTACCCCGAAAGTCACTGCCCCGAAAGTCACTGCCCCAGCACTGCCCGAAAAGTCACTACCCCGAAAAGTCATTACCCCGAAAAGTCACTACCCCGAAATAATTTGCATGATTTTCATAGGAAATCCGCATGAAAACTGGATTTTTCCGGAAAAAACAATGCTATCATTTTTCGGGGTAAACGGTTTCGGGGTAGTGACTTTTCGGGGTAGTGACTTTTCGGGGTAATGACTTTTCGGGGTAGTAACTTTTCGGGGTAGTGACTTTCGGGGTAGTGACTTTTCGGGGTAGTGACTTTTCGGGGTAGTGACCGGACGCCAGTCCAGGCTTAGGCTTCGGCTGAGGCTGAAGTCTGGGCTTAGACTAGGGCTTTGACTTGATTCGTTTTTTCGAAAACGTTTTGAAGGTAAATCGACGCGTGTAAAGCGGCAAAGCGGAAGGGGCGGCGGTGGAAGTGGCAGCGGGTTCGTGAATGGTAGCGTTACTGGCCACTTTTCAAAAGCTTTTTTTTGGACGCTTGGAGCAGGGAAGGCTTCGGGAGAGCGACCTTCCAGGGGTATAGCCGCTCGATTTGCCGGACGTCGTTGATCTCTAGGGGTGGAAATATTGGCCGCGGATCCAGCAACTATGGCAGCTATCCGTACTCGCCGAAATATGGAGGTGGGTGGAGATAGAGAAAGAGAGGGCGTGAGAGAGAGAGAAAGAGAGAGGGAGACAGAGAGAGAGAGAGAGAGAAAGAGAGAGAGGGAGACAGAGAGAGAGAGAGAGCGAGAGCGAGAGAGAGAAAGAGAAGGAAAGCCCAAACCTTCATTCTAGGATACTACGACGCACAAACTCCCGTCGTCCGAAATCACTCCCCAGTTGGGTTCTACTCCCCTGCCACTTATTCATACCGTAATTCCTCGAACAACAGAATGGTCTATGTCCCAAGTTACTTCCATAACCATAAGCCGGACCCAAATTTTGCTATCAACCAAGTCAATATCCCAAAACGTAAGTTCATACTGTACCTTCTTAACCGTTTTTTTAGCCATTCACATCAATATTGTGTTTTATCGTGACCGCACTCCAACATTTCTCGTAAGGTTTATACCCTAAAAATAACGGGTTTTTAGATAACTTTTTTATATTCCTTTGATTTTGTCGAACTAAACACTTACACGGACCGCTGGCAACAGCCTGACCAGTCTAATTTCTTGCCGATTGACAATTGGAGGCTGTAAATTTTTGGTTTAAGGTCGTGATATAATTTTTTGGGCATTAATCGATACTTTCATATATTTTTAGATTTGATGTGTCGATAAAGCCTGTCGATGGACACCTCAAAATCTACATTAACAACTTCGAGTTTGCTAGTTACGAGGAGAATGAGCAAATAAAGGCTTCGAATATCTGCTCGATTTATGGGGATGTTGAGGTAATTGTAATTCAGATACTGCCCCAGTTTTCCGGAAACGGCTGCCAATTATTTAAAGGAAAACAGTATTTTTTTGAGTGTCTGAAAAATCTACTTCCAGGTTCTCACGCTGAAAGCCGACGGGAAGATACTTGCTCCAGAATGGGGCGCGCTACCCAAAAGGCAGTAATTTGGACAGCTTCGGGTTTTCCGTTTTGGATTTACTCAGATTTTTTGGTGCTCCTGGAATCCGACCTCATCGCTTTTGCAGTCCTATTGGAATAAACATTTTGACCTTCACGACAGCCAAAATAATACCGTTTTTCTATTACAGACCATCACGTTTTTTTCTTCTTTTCCGGCAAAATAACGCCGACCTCAGCCTAAAACCGAACAACAAGAAATTGCAAAGAAAGAGAACCGGCCTGAGAAGCTATGTCAATTCACAACAAGTGTGATCGTCTAGCAAAGCGCGCTTCCCACTCGCCCCCCACCTGGCCCACTACCCCGCCAGGTATCCCATCCCCTCTCAGCGGAAATCAGCTTTGCGCAGAGGTGATAACGTGACCAATGAGGCCTAGCCGAGGTGCGTTTATTGCTGGTTGAAAACTGATACCAATTACCCGTCGCTTTCTGCCCTGAAATATGGGTGTTGGCGCAATTTTTGAACGCCCCTCGGGGGCAGCAAAACAGACGATGCAAAGCTTACAAGGATTCTCTAATACCTGGCTGTTTGAATACTGCAGAAAAACGACGATGCGCGAAAAGGGGGGCGTTATTCAAAAAATCAGGGATGGAATCCATATAACGTCAGCTTTTTCTTGTTGGATTGGCAACTTGATCATAGGTGCTCCTGGAATCATATCTCATTACTCGGGTCTTAAATCTGAATAAAAATTATACACAATACGAGTTTAATGTTATTCATAAAACTGAAAGTTTTCGATTTCTTTCGGATTCCGCCGGGAAAGCCAGCTATTTTGTCTAAATTTCGATTTGTATTTTCCGGAATTCTCTCCAGAATCTGTATACACAGTGGTGGTTGTGGCTCTATAGTTTATTTTGAACATTGTCGCCTTAAAATTAGCACCTTCACAATTTTTATGTAAGCATTGATATTTTAATGCGAAACACGCTTTCCCCTGCTCAAATTGGATCAAATTTTGAACGTATCGAAACCCTTTTTCGGTTCACATGTAATGAAACACCAAAAGACAAAAAAAAAGGGCGACCCCCGGCATAATTGAACAGCTCTAAAATCTAAAACAAAAACAGATTTTTAAACGGAAATTGAAGCTTTTCGTGTGACACGGCTTCCGTACTTCTTGTTACGTCTAAGGTGCCAATGACATAGTTGTGCTCTGGCGACCAGAAGTCCCCAGGCAAAAATAGCGCTCTCGTGACGTATTTCGGGCCTCTTTCCTGGGTCTCGGCTAGGGCTCAAGCCACGCCCCTGGGCGCCTGGCCATGCTGCAGCTCATTTTGCTATTATGGCTCGACTTACTATAGATCTAAGTGGAGCTAAATTTAAAACTATGGATCGTTCGCGGAATCTATTCAAGAGGAGTAACAGCGAAATTGCTGGAGTTGTCGCGGTTCCCCAAGGTATATTTTAATCAGCTTTAAAACTATGGGAAAATATACAAATCCAAAGCTATCAATAAGCTAAAAATTATAGTGTGCGTACCAATGGCAGATTTACTGGCGGAGGACCTGCGAGCAGCCGAAGAAGAGGCGAAGCGGAGGGCGGAAGCGCAGATGCGGAGGGCGGAAACCGAGAGCAACGGGAAAAAAAGGGATGAGCGCACCAGGCGCGGTTTTGTCCTTCTGTGCCTGGGTGGGTTGGCAAATAACTTAATAGATTATGCATTTTTATTTCAAGCCATTGATTTATATCGATGGATATCATCATATGGATAGAAATACCACAAAACAATTTTTAAATATTTGCCTTTAAAAAGCCGGCCCTTGCTCTCTAAAAATGGAGCTAAAGTTTGTTCATGTGTTGAACCTTAGTGTCAGAAATAAATTATTCTTATTAAAGCTGTTTCAGTTTTTATGCTTGGCCTAATTCTGATCGCCGATGAAGAATGGCTTGACCCTCCTGAAGAGATCCAGTTCTGGGATGAGCAGCTACTGGTAGTTCTGAAATCATCTCATAATCTCGTTTTTAGCCGGACCCAGATCCGCTTAACGGCACCAGAATCACTCTAAGTAGCCCTCCAAAAATTGGCCAATACATTCACCTTGTCGGGACATTGAAATCAAACGCCGAATCGTAAGCAAAACGCTTTCAAATCGATAGTTTAGTTAATTTTTAGGTTCTGTGTAACGCTTTCCAACGAGTGGGACTCAATTCGGCAGGATGTCAGCGTTTGCGCGGTGTTTGGAAACGGTAAATTGACATTGGAATGATGTAGAATTTTGATAGATTCGAAAATCGTATACGAAGCTCATCGAGACGGGGAGCGAATCCATCAAAATGAGGGTCCGAATGCGTTCGAGGTGAGTAATTTGGATCGCCAACAAAACTTAGGCTTCAGGCTTCGCTTTCAGCCTGAAGCTTTTCGGCTTGGGTTTTGAGCTTCAAGGTTTTCGCTTTTTGTTTGGTTTCTAAACGCGATATAAGACCCCTTTCAGGATCCCGAAACACTAAACCCAAAAGTCGACCTTCGCATCCGCTTCCTCCACGACTACGTGCAAATTTTTGCGCAACGCGGAGAAGTCGGGATCTTTAGAAAGTTACCGGAAGTGCATCAGGTAGACTTCATCTTTGTTGCAATAATTTTTTAATAGTTGACCTGCCTGAAACTGACCGGTGACATCATTCTACCTACGCTACTACACGTCGAGGGTGGCTTATATAACTCGCTGGCGGTAAAGGAGATGAAATACGGCGAGAGGATCGACTTGACGCTACTTCCGATGACGTCTTGTGAGTATCGTGGAACATTCAATGGATATTGTAATCAATTAAGACATTAACGCGTCGTGCTGGGAGTCGCTGATCGAGGGCCGGCCCATCGCAACCGTCGGCTCAAAAACGCGGGTGAAGCGGAAAGGTGGTAGTGGCGGAGGCAGAGGTGGCGGAGGAGCACGAGGTGGAGGTGGACGTGGGTCGTCAATAGGTATGCAGCATGACAAGTCGGACGATGCATGTTACGCTTTCAGGTCGTACATCCGGTGGTGGATTCGGTGGATCGTCATTCAAGGGGTTTGGTCGTTCAACGTCACGGACGTCGTCATTGCTTCGAAGCGGAAGGGTTCGGACTGGCGGTCGGGGGACCAGTAGCTATGGAATCTACGGTTACTCGCCGTCTTCTGGAGGTGAGGGGGTTACTTTCAAAATGTCGAAATTCATAAAGTAGAAAATTTTCAAACTTTCGAAATTCATTGTCGTTTCATTTTTTCATTCATTCAGTCGAAAACTGAGCATTTCGAAGTTTCATAATCTCGATATTTCATCATATCGAAATTTTAGAAGACCGAAATTTCACTGTATTCTTAGGGGTTTTTCGAAACGATTTTTTAATAGTAGTTGGTATTTGCTAAACCTTCTTTTTGCCAAAACGTTGTTAAACGTTGTCACCTTTCTGAAATTTCAGGATTATGAATTTTGGCATCAGAAATTTCGCATTTGCGAACGTAACGCAAATTAGAGATTATTCGAAAATTCCGCCTTGCTACCGAAGATAATTATATTTCCAGGCTACTACTATCGACAACCTACCGAAGCCAGCGAAAACCAAACCGCCAACAACTACTATGTGCCATCCACCTACTCCTACCAGCAAGGCTATATCAGCATGGCCTACACCACCAGCTATGGGCACGGCAAAAATCCGGACCCGAATTTTGTCCTGGATAAGACGAAGATCGATAAACGTAAGTCATCATAATTACACCTATATATAAGCTCTGCTCTCTTATATATTATGTTTAATTCCCCATTACAAACCTCATTCTCCAAATTGTCCATTCATTTCTACCTACAAGCCAAAAAAAAACCCGCTCCATTCCAGCGTTCTGGCTAGACGTTCGCTTTACGAAAAAAACACCCCAGGGAAATAACGAGACTTTTAAAGTAAGTGCGATACCTTAAGTTCCTCAAAAATTCCTGTTGTGTCAGATATCGTTTGACTTCTGGAGCAATACGGTCAAGCTTAATACCTATGATGGCGCGTGGTTGAAGGAAGATAAGGCCGATTTTATGCCGATCGATAATTGGAGGGTGTAGGTTTTTATTCAGTGTTGCGTCCGGGCAAGCTGAATAATTAATATAAACAGATTTCCAGATTCGATTTAACGATCAAGCCTGTCGACGGGTACCTGAAATTCTATATCAACAATTTTGAGTTTGCCAGCTATAAGGAGAATGATCAAATCAGGTCCTCGGATGGCTACGAAGTCTGCGGCGATGTGGAGGTAAATACAATGATAAATATTGCCACAAACGTTTTTAAGGTGTGGAACAGCAAAACAAACGGAAAATTGACTTCTGAAGACTATGACTTTCGAGGTCTAGTCAGCGAAGATTGGCGACGAGCCAAGGCCAAGGCTGAATCTCGGCTCCCATTTTAATAAAGTGCATATCGATTCTGTGGTGCGCGCTGTTTACCTCATCCAACTCTTTCTTGATGCTAATAAATGGTTCTAAACACCGATTTACATCTCGCATTTCGGCATTTGGCTGCAGTCACCGATGCGCCCACTCGCCACTCGCCTGGCCCACTACCGCGCCATGTATCCTATCCCCTCCCATCCGAAATCAGCTTTGCGCAGAGGTGATAACGTGACCAATGAGGCCTAGCCGAGGTGCGTTTATTGCTGGTTGAAAACTGATAACAATTACCCGTCGCTTTCTGCCCTGAAATATCGGTGTTGGCGCAATTTTTGAACGCCCCTCGGGGGCTGAAGAGCGAACGCAAGTTTAAGGTATCCTAGCCACTTTGATGCTACTTCGTTGCTTGGGTTATAAAGAAAGACCTCTATCCACTAAAAGGACGTGATAAATCTTTCCATGCAAATTACTCATCCCGATCTCTGTTTCAGCTCCTGCAGGTGCCAATGACATAGTTGCTCTCCAGCGACCACTAGTCCCAGCGGCTGAAAATAGCCCCCGGGCCCTGGAATGACGTATTTCGGGTCGTCTGCCGGGTCCCACTAGGGCCCAGGACACGCCCCTCTCTCTGGGCCCAAGTCTAGGTCGCAATCTGCCTGCAGCACGTCAGGCCATCTTTTCAGCCATGGCATTATATTACGCCATGAAATTGACTGCTACTCTGAAGCGGCTCTATCAAAAACTGAAATGTCGAATCGAGAATCGGAGTCCGCCTTCATCGGCCGCCGGGGATTCAACAACTTGAGGGTAATTAATAAAAGTTGCGATTCCGGTCGCGCAATTTCTGCAGTTTTAATGTAAACCGGCACCTCAGCTTAACCTTCAGTCTAACTCATCCTTATTTATTTAGATAGAGGAGCCGGAAGTTTGCTACCATTACCCAAAGCGGTGAAACCGCGCAAAGCGGCAGATCCCGAAGCTCATGAGCAAAAAATACAAATACGGATGTTTCTGGTCTCGGTAATGATTGTTGGTGAGTCTTTCCTTTTCTCTCTCTCTCTCTCTCTCTCTCTCTCTCTCTCTCTCTCTCTCTGTCTCTCTTCTCGCTCTCGCTCTCTCTCTCTCTCGCTTTCTCTTTCTCTATCGCTCCCTCGCCATAAACCTCGTTTCAGCACTGGTACTTGGCTATATCAGATACGAACTGAAGAAGATGGACTTTGAGCCTTCAGAAGAGATCCAATTCTGGGACGAGAAGCCGCAGGTAAGATTTTCACCCTGTTTATGTACTATTCTTTCCGGCTGGACCGGTCGGAATCAACGGGACGCGAAAACTGCTCGAAAGGCCTCCGAAAATTGGGCAATGCCTACATCTGGTCGGAAATCTGAGTACTGACGCGGAGCGGTTCGGAAAATTCTAAGCTTCGGTAAATCGAGAATTTCTAGGTTTTGCCTGACGCTAGCTGACGATTGGGATATCGTCAATGCTACATGTGTTGTCTGCGCATATTTTGGGGCAGGTAACAATGAACCTTGTTCCCTAAATGACAATATTTCAGAGCCAAAAATCGTCTATGAAACCTATAGAGATGGCAGACAACAATTTTATCACGAAGCTCCGAATCCGATCCCAGTAATTTTTTTTGATTATTTTTGATAATTTGTATAATATAGACAATCCGATGTGGTTTTGAAAATCCCCGTTGCTTTGGCCCGAACTTTGTCGAAATTAATCTGAACGAATCTTTCAGGATCCGGAAGATGACGACCCAAAAATTGACCTCCGCATTCGTTTCCTACCCGACTTCGTCCAAATCTTTGCGCAAAGGGGAGAAGTCGGGATTTTTCCGAAACTCCCCGAAGTGCATCAGGTATTTTGGCAAAGATCTCTTTGTTTTTTGAGGGTTTAGGTGCGCCACGTTAAATTAACGGGCGACGTCGCCAACCTGGCCCTGCTGCAGATTGAGGGTGGATACTATGAGACGAAGCAGAAAAAAGGATTCAACTACGGCGAACGGCTGGATATGACGTTGAAGCCGGCGGCACCTTGTGGTTCTTTAAACGGCATTTTTAAAGCGTTTTTAGAGCCTCTTTTTCATCGCCGTTTTCCTAACGCTTTGAAGGTCTAAATAACCCCGCAGAAATTTTTGAAAGTCCGAAGCAGTTAGAGGAATCGCAATAATGCCATAATTCAGACGACCCGGCCGTCTGGGGGGCATTGCTCGAAGGACAGCCCAGGAAAAGTAAGAGGCTATTTGACGACCAACGCATTTTTAGAGTCTCCCAACCGCAAAAGGAGCCTTGTTTTCATTTGGGGCGGAGGAAAGAGAAACTGTCATAATCATTATCGGGATAATGATGGTACGACAGCTGATTGGTGTAAAAAAAATCGTTATAGGCCTCCGCGTCAGCGATGGGCGTGGAATGGCAAAGTACAAGGGATCTGGACGCTCCAAGAGTCGTGTTTCGTCGTTGGACGGGAGTTGGTTTGGCGGAAGGATTGGGGCTGGACATAGCGACTACGGAATCTACAAGTATTCGCCGACTTATGGAGGTAGGGAGAGAGAGGGAGAGACAGAGAGAGACAGAGAGGTCGATAGAGCGAGCGGGAGAAAGCGAGAGAGTGAGACCCAAGAGAGAGAGAGAGAGAGAAAGAGAGCCAGTGACAGAGAGAGAGAGAAAGTGAGAGAAAGACATAGCAAGATATAGAGAGAGTTAAATATCATAGTTACAGGATACTACAATGGCCGAACATCTTATAAGCCATCCCCGTCAACCCCGCATTTCTACACCCCGGCCTCCTATTCCTACCTCCATTGGGCTAACGAAACAATCGTCCATGTCCCCAGCTATGGCCACGGGAAAAACGCGTATCCCAAGCTTTTCTTCAGCGAGGCAAGGATATCCAAACGTGGGTTGAGTTTTACCTGGCAAATTCCCCAAAAAAAATCCATCTAACCCTCCCTTTTGCAGCCGTTTCTATGCAAATAATTTTCTACCAAGGCTACGAGTACATAGATGACCTGAAAACTTTTACGGTATGCTGCCATGTTGGGCCCATACTGCCAAAAATCCATTCAGATTACCTTCTGGTTCAGTGACAACACTGTTGTGCTGACCACGGGTAGTGGATGGGGCAAAGATCAGGCCAATTTTTTGCCGATTGATGACTGGAGGCTGTACGTTGCAACGAAGTAATATAAAACTCCTTTCCAGATTCGATCTAACGATAAAGCCCGTCGATGGGCGCTGGAAAATCTACATTAACAACTTTGAATTTGCCACCTATGCGGAGAATTCGTGGTTAAGGGACTCGGATCGTTTCGAGATCGTTGGCGATGTGGAGGTTGGGCCTTTTTTTATTTTTGGGCTCAGGCCTTGGCTTGGTTTAGGCTCAGCTTAAGCCTAGCTCAGGCTTAGCTTAGACTTGGCTTCATCTTAACTTAAGCTTTGGGCTTAACTTTGGCTTACATTTTTGACACCGAGATATTCCAGGTTCTCGGTCTCAAAGCTGACGGTCGGTTACTACGCGAAGATATTCGACAATCATAAACGGCTCCATCTTTTATTTTCCTGCCATGTGATTCCAGTGGACCTCATTTTTATTTTTTTTTACAGCTCCCGTAGAAATAAATGGCTTTTTTGAAATAATTGGAAATCGCATAACAAAGGGAAACCTGGAAAAGTGGTGGCCCGCAGCAAATCCACCCGACCCGCCCCCCGCCTGGCCCACTACCCCTCCAGGCATCCCATCCCCTGTCCCCAGAAATCAGCTTTGCGCAGAGGTGATAACGTGACCAATGAGGCCTAGCCGAGGTGCGTTTATTGCTGGTTGAAAACTGATACCAATTACCCGTCGCTTTCTGCCCTGAAATATGGGTGTTGGCGCAATTTTTGAACGCCCCTCGGGGGCAGCGAGGGTGGACTAGAATCTCCTTTGGTTCGTGGACTCCGGGATCAAATTTGGAAGCGTCTTTGGAACGTGTCCTCGAGCCTGCTTCTTGCTGGCAATTTCTTTGAGGGATCGTGAGGACGGCTGGGAATCAAATCAAGGCTGATAAAAGTTGCACTCTATGCAAGAAAGAGTTTGAGTTTCAGAGTTGGAAAGACAGAGAAAGAGAACAAAGAGCTCCTCCCTCAAACTAGGCACGCAAGGTGGAGATCCCTCTTTAAGATGCTCATGCTAACCTTGGCGGCACTTCCGGGAAACGTACCCTCTCAAATTCCATGTATCACGCGAAAAGTCCATCGGGACCCATTTCAATGATTGCTCAAAAACAGCCAGATCTCCCAACCAACTAGAATATCACTTCCTCCTCCCTTTAGGACCTCCCATTTCGAAGTCGTTCCCATTTCCAACCCACTCCCCAGGTGCAGCATGCCCTTATGATGCTCTCCTCCTCAACAACAACTCCCCTTTGACGGGTCCCAGCCTATTTCTCCTCCTGCTCCACCTCATCCTCCTCCTCTTCCTCCTCTTCCCAACTCGGGCCCTCGGGGCATGTGGCCCAGGGACCCGCCCCTGAGGCCCCATGTAGTCATGGCCGCCCGTACCCGCCCTGGGCCGCATTTGCCAGCAGAAATTTTCATACATCCCACCACCACCATGCCCAATCGATTCAGCCAAAATTCCGCTAAACTCGCCACCCGCTCGCGCAGTTATGACCCGAATAGTAAGTTTTGGATACTGTAGTTCGGAACTACTGCAGGAATAGGGATTAAATTAATACCGAATTCGAATTAAAATCCGGATTTTCAGCAAAAAAAAATTCTCAAAAATCGATAAAAATTCTAAAATGTTATTTTCGTGAGCCTAACATTTTTCGAAAAACTTTTTGGAAATTATCGATTTTTGGACTTGGGGAAAATTTTAACAATTTTTTTGAAAAAATGCTGCAACTCATTCAAAAACTGGCATTATGATCAAAATCACATTCCGCTCTCAACAAACACAGTCAGAAAGTCATACAATCCTAGAACCTTATCTTTGGCAGCCTTTTAAAATTTGCCAAGAGGCTTACGAAAAATTGATTTTTATGTGGTGGTGCATGAAATTTGGTCCTAAATGTGTAGTAAAAAGCAACGCAAGATACATATCTATTTGCGATAGGCTAGTAACAAGATAAAAAAGGCCTTCCCCAAAGCTGAACAAAACCCGACGAAGCTTATTTTTGAGAAGGACCTTTTTCTTTTTTTTTAGTCAGGGGAATTTTGTAACTTTTTGCATATAGAATAAAATAATTAAAATATACACCCATTCACTTCTAGCCCAGCCCGGCGAGCCAGCACCCCATGCGGGCCAGCCGACCGCGTGCCGTCTGCCGTGGCCGGTGGCTTGGGGCAGCTCCGAGCGCCGATTGAGTTTCCGCGAAGTAGACCGGAGAAGAGAGGCCGCGTGCAAAGTCAGCCGTATTGCGAAAATGTTCCAGCAGTGCTGCTTAAAGGTCAATTTTAATGAAAATCTGGTTGTACTATTGTTGTCAGGGTGGCTGTCTTTTTGACCCGAGTTGGAGATCATTCTCATACAAATTTTTCTACTATTTTTTTTTCTTAGCGGTATTAGTCTTACATATTTGATGATCAGGGTAGGAGCAAGAAAAAGCGAGCGAGAGAGAAAGATAGAAAGAGAGAGAAGAGAGACACAGAGAGAGAGAGAGGAGAGAGATAGAGAGAGAAGAGAGACAGAGAGAGAGAGAGAAAGAGAGAGAGAGAGAGAGAGAGAGAGAGAGAGAGAGAGAGATAGAGAGATGGAGAGATGGAGAGAGAGAGAGAGAGAGAGAGATAGAGAGAGATGGAGAGATGGAGAGATAGTAGAGGAAGAGCGAGACGAAGTAGAAAATCATCTGGCATGAATTCATTAGGTCTAGATCACTACGTTTTTCAACTGAATGAAAATACTAACTTAACCTCCCTGGCGATTTCATGACATTTCAGGAACCATAAAAAATTTCTGGGCCAAACTCTCGCACTCACCGACTTGCAAAACTCTCCGGGGCCCACCTCAAATTTCGTGAATCTCACGGCAAACTCGGGTCTTTCCAAGTCGTCGCATGGTGAGCATAAATTCCTTAGATTCTATCCACCTATCCATAATTTTCTCAGGTTGGCGGCGATTCGCGCAAGAATAAGTGATGCACAAATGTTAGGTGAAGGTCTTATGTGTTTTTGCCGAGGTAAGAATTCCGCACTAGCCTTAGAATCCAATTTTTTTGCAGTACAAATATCATCTACCGGGCCTCATCACAGCTTTCGTCATATAACCGAGGACCAAAGAATCCGTTCTCCATAATCTATTTCACCCAATCAGGACGTGGGGCTCCTGATTGTTTAAAATTGTTTTGTATTACCGTTTTTGGAAAGGTGCTATAAATTATTTCAGTCCCAGTCTACTGGAATTTGCTTGGATCAAAAGGCAAGACCACAAACAAATTAACTACAGAAACAGCTGATGCGAAGGATACGAAAATAACGCGGCAACGATCAGAATATATTGTATGAAAGCCCCGACATTCTCTTGCCCCCACTCGCCACCCACCTGGCCCACTACCCCCACCGGTTATCCCATCCCCGCCCTTCCGACATCAGCTTTGCGCAGAGGTGATAACGTGACCAATGAGGCCTAGCCGAGGTGCGTTTATTGCTGGTTGAAAACTGATACCAATTACCCGTCGCTTTCTGCCCTGAAATATGGGTGTTGGCGCAATTTTTGAACGCCCCTCGGGGGCAGAAATCATACCAAACCGAGTGCAATTATGTCGTCAGCTGCTTAATCGCTTCCGGGGCGTGCTAGACGGTTTTCCAGAGTTGTCGAGGGAGCAGGGAATCGCATCAAGCGTAATAATTTTTGCGACGCTTGATGTCAAATTGGATTTAAGTCAGATAGAGGGAAAGAGAGACAGCGAGAAAGAGAGAGAGAGAGAGAGAGAGAGATCGAGGGAGAGAAAGCAACAAATAGTGAGAGAATAACAAAAATATTCTTTGAAAAAATGCCCAGGTTGTAGTTATGGACTTTTAGGAAGCAGGAATGCTTTTCCTAAACATTTCCAGGTTGATCAGCTTAAAGGAATCATCAATTCCGGATTGGCGACGCTTCCGGTTCCATCATTGACTAGAAGCCACAACCAAAATTTTTCTTGGTTATTTAATTGCCGCTCCGTCAGATGGCATTGAACATGAAATTCCATGCCATTTCCACCATTATTTTGCCTGCGGCGCCTATGACCCAGGCAGACCAGAGCGGGACCAAAGCCCTGGCGTCTAAAAATAGCCCCCTTTGACGTATTTCGGGAGGCTTGTCGTGTCCCCACTAGGGCCCTGGCCACGCCCCTGGGCCCTAGTGTATTCTGTAGTCTAGACTAGTGCACTGCCGCTCACTTGGCGTATTCCATGGCATGGGACTTGATAGGGATACCTCACCCAACTTTTAATTTCCGCATGGAATCTATGGAATTTTATTAATGACTAACGGCCTGGAAATGCTGGATATTTATAAAAGTGGCCCGGCGGAATTTAAACAAATTTCTTCTGGTGTGGGAAAATCGTCAACTTCGAGGAGCAACGGCTATTGTAAGGAAAATATTATTATCTATCGAATGGCATATTCGCAAAATACTCTTAATTTTTATATTTTTATTATTATTAGAAAAGACAAAAAAGCTTTCGGTTTACAACCGCTAAAATTATAAATTTCATGAGAGTCCTGTTATAGTAAAAGATTTAAGAAGAAAATTGATTGAAAGTTGATTGCTCTCAGGCATTTTAGTCTCTTATTCTTTTACTTAATAGCTTTTAGTATTGACCGAGCTACCCACCACAGCCCCTCAAAATTCGGGCAAACGCACCCCGTGGCCGGTGGTGACCCGAGAGCTCGAGCGACGCCGTCTTGAAGAAGAAAGGAGACAAGGTCGTGAAAGGACACGAAAGAACGATTTAAAACGACGCCAAAATGCGGATTGTAATAGACCGTGGCACAATGCTTGCAAAGTGATCGCTACTGTCGGTGAGTTTCTCGGATTTAGAATTTTGAAAAAGGTTCGAAACTTTCGAATATCGTCCATTAAGCGGTTGGGGAAGCAGCCTGACCATTTCTCTGGTTTAACAATCCTCATATTTAAGTGATCGGGACCAAAATTGGCATAAATAAGGAACTACAAACTCAAACTAACTAAATGTTCAAGGTTTTGCCGTGTTCTATTTTTTCTTGACTTTCAATCGTAAATCTCTGGGTTTCAAAGCCAGTAGCATATTCTAGCAGCAAAAAAATGCTCAGCACCGTCGAGAGAGAGAGAGAAAGAGGGGAGAAAGAAAGGGAAAGACGGAGAAAGAGAGAGAGAGAGAGAGAGAGAGAGAGAGAGAGGGAGAGAGAGAGCGAGAAAGAGAGGGAGAGAGGGAAGGAGAGAGAAGAGAAAGAGAGAGAGAGAGAGAGAGAGAGAGAGAGAGAGAGAGAGAGAGAGAGAGCGGTTCGTTGAATATATTCGGTTTTTTAATTAGCTAATACATAGCTAATAAAAAGTCGCATTTAGTTGGTTTCGTCATCATCATGTACTTCAGACAGGAGCGCGCGCCTGAGGAAATTAGCTTTTGGGATGAGGCATCGATGGTAGGTTTTTCTTATTTCTAGAAGAGCTGATTTCCGGCGAACCCCGATCGAGACTATGGCATTCAAAAACGGCTAGACAACCCGCCAAAAATTGGGCAACACCTACACCTGCTCGGCCAGGTGAACTCGAGTACTGTTGAATGGTAAAAGACATCGAGAAACCCCTACATTTTTCGAAATCTTAGGTTTTGCGTTTCGTTATCTCGCGATTGTTATGATTCCTACAACGTGGCGTGTAGTATCTGCGCGTACTTTAAAAATGGTATGTTTCTTCGCTTAGATTTTTTAAGCTTTATGCTTTTAATATATTTTATAGACATAAATTTAAAGATCTATCTTAAAAACTGATTTAGACTCAAAAATCGTCTATCAAGCCCATCGAGCAGGGGAGCAAATTTTGTATCATGAAGCCCCGAATCCATTTAAGGTAAGTATAGACCTATCATATCTTAAGATGTGGTTTCACAAAGCTGCTCAAGTTCTGCAAACATCGTTTTTCTTAGGTCTCGGAGGTAGAAACCCCAAAAGTTGACCTTCGCATCCGGTTCGTTGACAAGTACATTCAAATTTTTGCTCAGCGAGGCGAAGTCGGAATTTTTGATAAAGCCCCAGAAGTGCATGAGGTGATTTTTTGATAGCCTAGTTCCGACTAGAAGCCGAAAATTTGAAATTATGCACATTTTAGGTGACCTGTTTGAAAGTGACCGGCGATGTAATCTCTCCAACTCTATTTCAACTAGATGGTGCGAATTATTCGGTGCCTTTTATACGGGAATTCAACTATGGAAGCAGGCTCGATATGACGGTGAAGCCGGTGCCAACGGGTTAGTTGCTCTCTCCTTCTCTCGGTCGCTGTCTATCTATCGCCGTCTCTCTCTCTTCTCTCTCTCTTTCTCTCTGTTCTCACTCTTTCCCTCTCTCTTTCTAACCTCTCTCACTAGCACGCACTCGCGCTCTCTCACCATCTCTCTCTCTCTCTCTTTCTTTCTCTTTCTCTCTCCCTCTCTCTCTCTCTCTCTCTCTCTCTTACTTTCTTAAATATTCCTTTCCAATTTTTCTTTAGTTGATCCTGTGCTCTGGGAATCAATGATCGAAGGCCAACCTCTTAAAAGTAAGCCTAACTGTTTTTTTTGAAACCTACTATTTCTCTAGGCTCTAATATTCGCGTCAAGCGGAAGGGCGGCATGGGAGGAGGTCGAGGTGGTGGAACCGCCCGAGCTGGAGGCGGAAGAGGAGGTGGAGGTATCGACAATTTTTCCAAGCAGTTCAACGACCCATTCAGGGCGCTCCGGAGGCGGAGGGTTCGGCAAATCCTCATTTAGCGCACCTGGGCGCTTCACATCACGTTCATCTTCCACCAGAGGAGGTCAGATTTCGGGTGGTGGCTCCCGTGGATACAGTAGCTATGGTAGCTACGCGTACTCACCGATTTATGGAGGTAAAACTAAACCGTAAAATTGGGTAATTCTGCATTTTAGGGTATTATTACGGTAGAACCGGCTACCGTACCAACCAAGGTCATGCGAATTTCTACATCCCGGCCTCTTATTCATACCGTAGCATCTATGGAGGGCGAATGGTGTATGCAAGGAGCTATGGTCATGGCAATAATTCGGATGCAAATTTTCAAGTAAATGAGGCTACGCTTCCGAAGCGTAAGTTATAATGCCGTATGAGAAAACGGTTATTTTCAGCTAGAAAAATCGATATTCATTTCTTCAAAGCCGACCCTAACGCGGTGCCGGCTGAATACGTACCGACCTTCATTGTAAGTAGATTTATCGTAAAAGTATTTATATTTTTTTTTGATTTGTTGTAAGCACCTTCATTATTTTTAGATATCCTTTCAATTCCTTGAAAATGTCGTGCTACTAAATACATATTTACACGGCAGCTGGATGGCCGAAGATAGAGCGGATTTCATGCCGATCGATAATTGGCGGCTGTAAGTGATGTAGCTTACGCACTAATAGACGTTTTTCAATTTTTAGGTTTGACCTAACAATTAACCCAGCGGAGGGAAAGCTAAAAATCTACATCAATAACTTCGAATTCGCCCGCTATAACGAAAATGAGGCGATCAGCAACAGCACGCATTTCAAGGCGGAAGGAGATTTGGAGGTTATTTGGATAATTCTAAGATTAATTAAACTAAATAGATCCTCAATGTGAAATGCGGCGGACAATTGATTACTTGACAGGAAGCTCAACGCGATCGGTTTGAATTTTTTGGTCTCTGGTCCCATAACTGATGGTGCCCTACCCCCTGATCTCAACAACGTGTATTTTGGCCGATTAGTGCTATAAAAACGTCGTCTTGAATCGGCAATGTGAAACCCATGTACATAACATCCCAAATCACAAATGTCGATCCAGGACATCACACAAATAGTCCATTGCGGTGACGACTTCCCCGCGGTTTTTTATCATTGATGGGGTTTGCTTGGCCGAGAACTGAAATTAAACGGCTTGAGAAAGATGAATTTCACGAAAAAGCAAAAATTTTTGCTGCCGGCGCTAGTCGAACCAGCGATGGTTAACCCCACAGCCCAGAGTGCTAACCAGCACACCATGGCGCCAACCGTGCCGGCGCGACGAAAAGCCCTCAAATACTCTCGGGGGATTGCACATGCGATTTCCGTGTTTCTAGCCGTGGCCTGCGCCGAAACTGCGCCTTGCATAAAAATTCCGAATTCCGAATAAACGTCAATAGTAGGGTGAAGGCGGTCCGTCACCCCGACGGACGCCTGCAAATCTTTCTCCAGCCCTTTAAGCATTTAGCAGGTTTTCAGAATGCGAGAGGCGACTACAGCATTTTAATGGGCTTTTAAATTGATCTTTTAGAATATTGGAACGGTACTCATACCTTAAACCGCTGGAACAAATTTGCGACGAAGAGGAACAGCTCGACTTTTGCCAATCCCTCGCCGGCGCATTGTCGCTTTCCGACAGAAAATGGAACAAGCTCATCGTATTTCCTCGATGACCCATCCGGATTTATGAAGCGCTCCGGCTTGAAGGCGTATGGATCGGGGAATACCTCAAAATTAAGGATGATGGTGAAACCATTGATGGAACTCACTCGTTCATCGTAGAGCACCGCACTGATTTGGGGCATAACGACGGTGCCTGCCTTTATTTCATAATCCCCGATTACCGTATCCGCGAGGAGCTTCCGCTGTAGATTTTGAGGGAGAAGGTTTGCGGTTCTTTGAGTTTCCTAGAATTTCGATGATCACAAATGCCGCGTGAGACAGATGGAGATAGACCGAAAGATAGAAAAAAAAAGAGAGAGAGAGAGAGAGAGAGAGAGAGAGAGAGAGAGAGAGAGAGGGAGGGAGGGAGGGAGGGAGGGAGTGAGGGAGGAAGGTAGATAGAGGGGGAGAGAAAGAGAAAGAGGGGGAGAGAGAGATGAGAGAGAGAGAGAGAGAGAGAGCACGAGGAGAGGAGAGGAGAGAGGGGGAGAGAAAGAGAAAGATGGGGACTTCAGACAGAGAAAGAGACTTCTCTCAACTTCTGAATTTTCAATTTTCTCAAGTCCCACATTAACAACCGCATTCACATATGGCAGATCATTCTTGTCAGCCATCGTAATCATCCGGTCCGAACCGATTACGCGATCTAATTCTTCGTGCATCTGCTTCTGCACATTCGGATAGTTCAATACATAGCAAATGGCCCAGGTGAGCGTGTTAGACGTTGTTTCCATCCCTAAGTTTCTTTTCTGCATTAACAGATCCAAAATTACCAGCGCCCCAAATATCCAAAGCCACATTCGTCAACTGATGATCGCTAAAAACATGAATAATCTGGATTTTGGGGTCTGACCAGTAAAACGCCTCGTTTGGTTTTCCCTTTTGCCTTTTCTGCTCCTTTAAATAGCATTCGACGAAATCGGTGTATTCCTGAACAACGTAAAGTGTATGTAAAGTGCGCTTACATCACTGCTAAAATCCACTTCTTTCCGCCTCGCCTCAATTTGCGTTGCGATAAAATCCATGATTTGTTGATGCCCGTTGACGAAACCGTAGAAATGTTCTAGAAGCAATGGTTGCAAGCCGAAGAATACACTTCGATACCTTTGAAATACGGGACCTTCCTAAATACGGGCAAGAGGGCGGGTACCAAAAATAGGATATTTTGTCCACCAGTCACTAGCTTGCGCAGAAGCTCCCTGATCAGCCTGAACTCGTGCTGTTTGCTCTGGAAATTAAATTACGTTGATGTGATTATACCGTTAATAGATCTCAATCGTAAAAATGTATACCTCGTCGAAACGGTATCCGAATAAGATGTTGTTGATGATGGAACCAACGGCGGTATCGAATTCGGACTAATAAGGTTTGAAAATAATATCGCTCAGGAATTAATTCTCTAACCCGCATATCCAAATCAGTTTTAAGTGATCGCATGCGATCGATAAGGAAGTTGACCTCGAGCATTACCTGGAAATGTTTTCCCGCTTTTTGCGCATGAAATTCAAAAGTTGAACTTTCAAAGTAAATTTAAAAATCAAAAACCCTGTACCCGCTCTTCCATCAAATTCTTGCCCATGCCAAAATCGCGCAGGGTATGCAAAACAAATCTGCGAAATTAGTTGTAAAAAATTGTAATTTTTGTATACCTTCGCTGTTCTCGCCAGATATCACCCCATGAATTGATGACGCCATAGTTGCCGCCTAAAAAGAATGAAGGAGCTGCAAATTTCACCAGATATTGGGGACCAAGATACAAGATTTAATTAGGTAAACAGCGAAACATTAACCCGATCGATCACTTGCCTTTCAGGAGATCAAACAAATCTTTCAACGTCGCTCGATCCGCAAATTTATCACCCTCCTTAATAATTGATTCCTTCATCGTTTGGTAGTCTGCCACTACCACGATCGGTTGAGGACCTAGAATATAAATATAGATCAAAAACAGATCATTACCCTTCCAATAGGTATACACGGGACCATACTCGTTGCGCCACTCCCGAAAACACTCGTAGCCTGGACTACATTTTGCAACAGATACCAAATTGCCGAGCAGGGGTAGGGGAGTTGGTCCTGAAAAAGTCGTCCTTCGTTGATTTTTCATGCAAAAATCGATGCAAAAATCATTTTTGAAAAATAAAAAATTTAACAGGGTTGAAAAGCCGCGTTGCTATTTTTTAACCCTGGCCCCGGCTGATCCCATAATATTCTTCACTTTGAAACCAGCATACGTTTAATGTTTACAAACCTGGCGGCAAACCCCTGCGCTTCCAATATAACTCGTAGAAAAGCACGGCGGTCGTGGCGAAGAACACGAGGACCAAAATCATATCTGTAAATTGAGACCCTGTTGTAAGCATCAATCCCGTTGCAGCAGATAAACCCTAATCGACAGGGTCAAAATTGAGAGTAATGGGGTTGTCGGGGTGTTTTGCTGAACCGGTTGCGCTCGCCTCTTTCTATACTCGGCCCCGGTGAGTGGACCATGCTTTCAGACTCGTGACCGATCGTAGGAAGGTCAGTCGGTCCGCCAAAAAACCAACACAGCCCACATTACACGATCCAAAGGGGATGTGGACCCCCATACAAATTGTTTTCTAAAACAAACTAACATTTTAGATTCTTAACGTCAAATCTGATGGTGTGTCGATCATCTGGGGGATCGGGCTGCCTACTAGAACCGAATTCGAAAAAGCTCTGCCCAGACCTAATGAACTAACATGACTTCTTGATCTCAGTCAGGGATTAACTTCCTTTATTCTACCGATAAAGAACATAATGGAAAATGATTTTGCATCGGCAATAGATTGGCACAAACGAACAACGCCCTGAATGGAAAGTACTGACTTTGATCCTAATTTACATGCGAAAGAAGCATTTAGTTGACGTGCCCACCCGCCCTCCACCTGGCCCACTACCCCGCCAGGTAACCCATCCCCTCCCTTCCAGAAACAGCTTTGCGCAGAGGTGATAACGTGACCAATGAGGCCTAGCCGAGGTGCGTTTATTGCTGGTTGAAAACTGATACCAATTACCCGTCGCTTTCTGCCCTGAAATATGGGTGTTGGCGCAATTTTTGAACGCCCCTCGGGGGCCGAAAAATGGAAGTAAAGTAGGTAGTTCTCTGTCGTACCTGTACCTGTTCCACAATACCGATATAGCAATCACCGTTTGGTGATCGCCGTTTATCTCCGAATATCGTGGCTCAAGGGGTCACGGATCGTGACACCCAATTAGGTCGGATATCTTCCGAGCGTGTCTAAGCCATCGTGCATCCCCTGGAGACATTTTTGATTTGAAGCTTTTCTCGTCTTCTTTGGTTTGAAGCTCATCAGTCCCTTCAAAGGTTACTTTTTTAAACGGCATACCAATTTTGCCTTTGCCTGTGCCCGAGGCGCCTATGACCCAGGCAGACCACGGTGAGACCAAGGCCCGCTGGCTAAAAATAGGGCCTCTCTGACGTATTTTGGGATGCTCTTCGGGCTCCGACCAGGGCCCAGGCCCCGCCCCATGGGCCCTAGTGTAGTCCATAGTTCCGTCTGGCGCCCTGCGGCTTATTTGGCCATAGCGACCTTGATCTAAGGGTCAAGATCTGTGAATTTGCCATTCAAAAAAAGCTTTTTACTTTGAAAATTTAATTTTAAATTTAAATTTGATTTTTAATAAAATTTATGCTATTTAATTTTTATTTCAATAAATTGTAAGCTATGCGCGGTTATAAAACTAATAAAATCAATTGCAAAGATTTGCCGATGGAATCCCCGTCCACCTCAGAAATTCCGGCTCCGTCCATGGCCGTTTCCGCCTCCAAACCTGAAGGTAGCTAACTAAAGACGCGTGAGATTCAATTTAGAAAAACAAAGCGGATCCGATGAGCTCCAAGTTACGGAGAGTCCGCGGCAATCCACATCCCAAATAGCTCAACCCCCACCACAGCCATTACCATGGCCAGAGGTGCCCGTGATGCACAGGCGCAATTCGGAATGGAGGCTGGAAAGGGAACGCGTTCGCAAACAATGGGAATTATTCGTCTGCGTCCTCGGGTTCGTCCTATGTCTTGGTGGGTTCTAATAACTTTATGATTTTTCCCTCGGTCTCTCTCTCTACAGCTCTCTCGCTCTCTCCCTCTCTCTCTATATCTCTCTCACTGCCTCTTCATAACGATAACCAATAAAATCGTACCAGCTCTCGAAAATCAAAAATTCGAGGTACTGGAGATCGAAATTTAAAGTTTCGGTGTGAACGAAATCCATCTTTCACAATTAAGCCAATTTCAAATTGATTTTGATATCCTACGTCTCTTTGACAATAATTTAGTGGCACTGTATGAGCTAGACAAAATCGACCAGGAACCCGCCCCGGATGAGATCCGGTTCTGGGACGAGCATTGGCATGTAAGCACCAGCTTCTATTCTGTCAAAAATGTCTATTTTCGGCCGACCCAGATCGAACACACGCGACGCGGGAAACTCTGCGAAGCCCGCCAAAAATTGGTCAATACCTTCATTTAGTAGCGCAACTGAAGGCGAGCGGGACCGAGTGGTAAGAACATTTTGAGAGGACCGATAAACTACAGTATTTTAGGTTTTGCGTGACACTCTCTCACGCTCGTGATAATCCTAGTCACGTGGCCTGCAGCGTTTGTGCGTATTTTAAAGGAGGTACTGCACAAAAAAATAGAATTTTTATAGGACAATTCAGATCCAAAGATTGTCTATGAATCGACCCGGGATGGGGAGCGAATTTTCTACAATGAGGCGCCGAATCCATTTTGGGTATGCTGATTTTTCTGTTTTTCCTCCTCGATTTGATTTTTAACATATCTTATTATTCGAAAAGAGTCTGAAAATTTATATTTCAGGACCCAGAAAACACATCTGCAAAAATCGATCTACGCATCCGCTTCCTTCCGGACTACGTCCAAGTTTTTGCCCAACGCGGAGAAGTCGGAATTTTTGACAAATCTCCGGACGTTCATGAGGTATTACTGGATTTAATGGCTGTTTTGTAAGTGAAAACTTAGGCGACTTGTTTAAAACTCACCGGAGACGTCGTATCCCCCACCATATTACAGCTGGATGGGGCAAATTATTCCACACCGTTGTGGCGGCCCCTCAACTATGTGGCTAGGTTGGACCTGTCGCTGAAGCCGGTACCAATGGGTGCGGTTTAACGACTCGGGTTTTAATGAACTTTTAATAATTTTAATGTTGGCTCAACGTAAAATAGACGAAAACATGGGTTTTTTGCGATGGGACGACAATAACTTTATTTAGTTGATCCGGCGCTCTGGAATTCCCTGATCGAAGGCCAACCCGTTAAAAGTAAGGCGTCTTTGAGAGAATTACATTTTTCTCAAGCTGCTGGCACGCGCGTCAAGCGGAAAGGCGGTAGCGGAGGCGGGCGTGGTGGTGGAGGAGCTCGAGGTGGCGGCGGAAGAGGAAGCGGCATAGGCATGTTACTTGCCAAATTCCTTGGACGAATTTGAGCTTATCGTAAACTTTCTAAACCTAATATAATTTAATAACTTTTTTAGTGATCAGTAAAACACTGGATTCTAGGTCGATCTGGCGGTGGTGGCTTCGGAAAGTCGTCCTTCAAAGGCTACGGGCGTTCCACATCCCGTAGCACGTACCTGGCTGGCGGTCGGACTAGTGAGGGTAGTTACGGCGGTAGCAGCAAGTATGGAACCTATACCTATTCTCCGACTTATGGAGGTAAAACGCATACCTTAAAGGTGCACTTGAGCTTCCACTTGGCAGCTACAAAAAAGCAATATTTTTTTAGGATACTACTACGGTAGCACGACCCAACGGAGACCCCAAACCAATGCTCTTTTCTACGTGCCGGCCTCATATTCATATCGTAGCATGTATGGTGGTGGAATGGTGTTCGCGAGAAGCTATGATCATGGAAAAAATGCGACCGCAAATTTTGATGAGAATGAGACCAAAATTCCGAAGCGTATGTTGCACGTATTTAAATTAAGTTACAGTAGCAGAACCTTAAAAACAAAATCCAAAATATCTTATTTTTCAGCAAAGAGAATTGATATCATATACTACAAAGCCAATTTGTCGAAATACCAAAAGGATCCAGTGCCGACGTTTACGGTATGTTTTTAATAAATATCATGATTTTGTCATTTTTAGCTTTCCTTCCGATTCTCGGAGAACGCAATAGTACTCAATACCTATTCCTTTGGACGCTGGCAGCAGGAAGATCGAGCTGAATTTATGCCGATCGATGATTGGAGGCTGTAAGTACCGTAACTGCCGCATTAATGACACTCCCGATCTTCCAGTTTTGATCTCACCCTCCATCCGGCAGGCGGCAAACTTCGGGTCTTCATCAACAACTTTGAATTTGCCAGCTATGACGAGAATTGGTCATTTATGGGTAGCACACATTTCAAAATTGAGGGGGATGTGGAGGTAATAATGACTGGATTGTTTTTAAAACCAACTCTTGTTTTAGATTCTAAACGCAAAATCCAATGGTGTCTTGATCGCCTGAGAATCGGGCTCAGTGCGAGTCGAATTTCAAAGCTCGCCAAGGGTTGACCTCTTAATCTCATCACATTGTATTTCTGCGTGTTATTTGTCCTAATAAAGAATTTATTGCCATTTTATTGTATCCCTAATAACGTGGCACGAAATTAAATAGCTTTCGAATGTTATATAATGACTTTGACCGCAATTTGCATGAACAGCGAGCATCGAATGGATGTCATCCACTCGCCACCCACCTGGCCCACTACCCTGCCAGGTATCCCACCACCTCCTTTCCAGAATCAGCTTTGCGCAGAGGTGATAACGTGACCAATGAGGCCTAGCCGAGGTGCGTTTATTGCTGGTTGAAAACTGATACCAATTACCCGTCGCTTTCTGCCCTGAAATATGGGTGTTGGCGCAATTTTTGAACGCCCCTCGGGGGCAGAAGAGCGAATGTAAGTTTAAGGTATCAGAGGCCTGATACTACTTGGCTGCTTTGACGCCCCACGTGGCTGCAAAATAGAACGCTTCTAACTATGCAAGGCCAATTGTGAATACGTTATCGAGCTGCCTTGTAATAAATGCTGCGTTGTCCCCCGTGCGCAGCTTGCGGCTATTTACACAATTGAAGATATAAGATAGACCCCACTCGCCACCCACCTGGCCCACTCCCCCACCAGGTATCCGCTCCCCTTTCCTAGGAAATCAGCTTTGCGCAGAGGTGATAACGTGACCAATGAGGCCTAGCCGAGGTGCGTTTATTGCTGGTTGAAAACTGATACCAATTACCCGTCGCTTTCTGCCCTGAAATATGGGTGTTGGCGCAATTTTTGAACGCCCCTCGGGGGCAGAAAAAGCACTTCCAAACATTTTATTCGTGTTTTTAACTTTATTCATCCATCCTTCACGTGGTCCCGACAATTGATTGGTTGGCCTGGCAAAATTTCGTGAGTTCCAGCGCCTGCGCCTCGGAATTGCTAAAAGCGTTGATTTTTGGAATGATAGTAAGACGCAACTAACGAGGGTGCTGCACAGCCAGATGATGCAACCAGGACTCAATCTTGGTGCCTCTTTTGACAACTAGAAACCATTTTCGTTGTACTAAATTCAATTTTTAAGGTGTCTTTTTTAAGTGGAGAAGTCTCGGCGTTAACGATGATTTACTGCTGGATAGGTGAAAAATTGAAAGCCGCAAACAGTTACGTTTTTCACAATTACAGTCGTTTTCTACGCGCTGTGCCATCGTTTTTCTGCTGTAAAAACGCATGCGAACTCTTTTTCCACCTATGCGGTTTTCTAAAAAAATTTATCCTTGCTAGACTTTCCAAAATTAGGACTGGTAGATGCGTTCTGGCTGGGACCAGAATAAAGAAGATTTAAAAAACTAAATACTACCTGAAAAGTTTGCATTTCTCTCCATTATTTCCGTGTTAGACATCCGTACGCGCGGTATCTAGGCTTGGATGTAGAGACATTTTTGACGCCTACCGGGAGCCCGGAAACACTTTTGCGCCGTGGTCGCCCCGTATCCTGGGGTGAAGGGGCGCCCCCGAAAAGGAAACCTAAAGTCAGTTTTTCGTTGAATTCGTGGGCTAAAAACAGGATTACAGAATAAAGCATAGTAAAACGTTGTTAAAGAGTTTAAGTCGAAAAATCGCTGCCCTTATTTACCATTTAGCCTGGTGCTTCTGCTCTCAAGCTGGAGTAGTCCTGGACCGATCTGAAATATTATTAATTAGAGTGTAGTTTTCTATAGCAACGACGGGGCCAAATTGATTGAGTTTCATTCAATTTCCGGGCGTTAAAGTGGTATGTTTTACCCCGAAATTGCGCTGACTCTGGCATGGCCTCAAGCCGAAATATTTTACTCTGCGCCATGGTCATTAACCCGCTGACTCTAAAATGGCATCTTTAGAAAACTTGTTGAAAATTACCAAGCTGGAACACCGCTCATTTGAAAATGTTGTTTTTGCTTGGTAATTCACCCGGTAGGCCGGAGCGGAAACAATGGGAATGAGTCTAGAGATGTGATGATAAGAATCGACAACAAAATTCTTACCTTTGTTTTCTTCGAGTTGGTGCTTCTGCTACTCAAGCTGGCCAATACCTGAAGCTATCATCGAAAACCGATTGATCAAAATTTACCGTTTTTCTTTCCATTTGACGCTCCGTTTCCGTTTTTTTCTCCGAGCTTTCTATTTTATTTAGCGATGAGGGGCAGCACCGCCTTTCTCCTAATAAGAAAATGTTCTAGAATGTGATTTTGAATGGATCACGAAACTCACTGCTTGGTGGAAACCTATTTTTCCATCTTCTGCTCCCTAAACTGGGCCCGCCCTTCGGCTCCAATCATTTCCAATTCAGTCTCTTCGATTTTAATTCTAAAAATCAAATATACCATTTTTCGATGTAATCCCTACCTTTTCACCACATATTTTGACGATTTTTTAAGCAATATGCACTGCGTCGCCCGCGGGCACTGAAATCCTAGTATAGATGGTGTCCGAAAATACCCTTTTTAATCATGTTTTTCTTTAGACGCACCATCTTACAACGGTTTTAAAAACATTAAGAAATGGCGCCTGCATCTAAGTAACGGCTAATTCCGTATTTTATTTAAGAAACTTGAGGAAAATTAGCTCATATGCTACCCCACAAAGCCGGAAATCTGACAAAATGGTTTGTAAGCTAGCCAATTTAAATAAAAACATGGGTATTTGGAGCCGCGAGGCGGTATTTGGAGCCACCCTTGTATTAAGGTAAAAAGAAAACAGAAACTCTCGTACGGCTCGCATTTGACGAAATTCCTTGAAGACACCCGCGATGGCCAAGCAAATGGGGGACGTTGATTCGGCGCTAAAATTCAGCATTCATATTTACCGGCTCCGAAGACAGATTCTTCATGTTTTGGAAAAAATCGCTTTTGTATACCTGTAAAAGTCGAATCCCTGGTAATCGTACGTGGTTAAACATCCATCTTAAAATCATCCGGAAACCACATAGCTCTCGATGAAGCTAGCAAAAATTGGTAGCACCACCCAAGTCGAGAATCTGAAGTTAACATGTTAGTTTTTGATGAAAAAGCTCAAAATAAAAAGCATAAAAAGGATCTTATAGTAAAAATTGTAGAAAATAAAATCCCTGTTCCGGTAGTTTTAAACTGAACGCTGCCCGGCGGGCACGAATCGATCAGGTGCAATTTTTTTGTAATAGCCCGCGGGGTCTGGGAAGCAAAACATTGGTAGGAAGGAGGGTGTTGGCGGCTGCTGATTCGTAGGAGATTGAAGAAATTTGAGTACAGGTGTCCAAATACGACAATTTCAGATGATTGGCACGCTCTGAAAGGTGAGGAAACAAGTTGCGGGCTGGCCTCTTACATTAACAACGTGGATTTTAGCAGGGAAGGAAAATAATTTTTCCCAGTACCCCTTACAAAGCATTGCATTTTATACACACCAAAAAGGCAATATAAATTTGAAAGAATTTTCAAAATTATCCATTTGTTCGGTCAGAATGGCGTGAAAAAGGCCACGAAAAATCAAAATTTCAGAATTTCAAAAATTTAGCGATTTTTTTGTAATGTCCTAGCGATCAAAAACTATTAATAACGCTAAAAAATACACTATATGTTAGCAGCGCGTCAGGTATAAGCGGGAAAAGAAAAATTAATTTCTGATTTGTAAAGTTCGCTGAAATCAAGGGGGAAATAAAATTTTTAAACAAACATTTTGGTGCTTGCTACTGGGCGCAAAAAAAAATTCTTCGGGAGAAGAATTTGCGGGAGCAGAACGCACTGAAACAGCCGGATTTTGTTGCGACCTGGATGGTACAACCAATAAAATTTTCAGCACATGGACAATCACAAAAAAACCCTCCAAATAACGAGAAAAAAGCATGGTCCAGCCACATTCGCTATTTCGGTGCACGACGGCGGGTTGCAAAAAAGCAGGGAAATTTCAAAGAATTGCTAAATCTGGAACTCCGAAAAAGGTTGCACCTGGCCCTGGAAAGAACGCAGGCCGAATGTGGGCGGCTGGACATGGAATTTTTCGTTTCAGGCGCTTGCCTACGTCCGAGTCGTCCAACATTTTGACACTGTTTGGATCCTTCAGGCATTTCAATTTTTTGTTCGGGGTCTTAAGACAATATGGCTGCACCAGCTTCAGCAGTTCTTAACTGCTACGAACCACCGACTTTATATATCTGGTACTCGGAGGGGTTGCCATTTGTCAGTATTCCACTGGGCTTGGTGGCCTTCTATTTGGTGATCGCTCGGACTCCGCCCCATATGAAGGAGATTCGACAGCAATTTCTGATCACACACGTGAGTTTTAAACCTGATAAGGTATCACTATTGTATTTTTGTGGTGACCCATCCCCGGATTTATACCCGCGTGCTGCACGCGATGCCCAGCGTCGCTTAATTTCTTAATTACAGCTCAAAATTGCCTGTTATTGAATGGCCATAAGAAAAACCACAAAAATGAGACCTCTTTTGACATGCCTCCAAAATGAGGTTGGTAGGCTCGTCTTGGGCGTTTTCGAAATTTTTTCGACGTTCCATAAACGCCATTTAAATGACCGTTAAAAAAGTATACAAAAAATTGGATAACAGTGCAAAATCTTAGAATTTTATATTTGGGAAGCAGTGCGAAGCTCCCGCCAAAAAAGGTTTCTCCCCCCCCCCCGCTTGCAGACCAGTACGGGGAACGCCTAGCCAAAAATCCGTAGCCGTACCTTATCGCCCCTTTAATAAATACATAAGTTATTGGTTTCTCTGTTTAATTATGTTTATTTAGACTATTTCAATGATCTTCGAAGCCGTGATGTTCACCATCGTGCCGGAGCTTTACTTTCCTGAATTATCGGGCCGTATTCTTGGCCCATGGGTTTCAGTTTTTGGCTTTGGCGTCGCCTTTGTTCGTTCGCCTTTGTAAGGAATAAGCTTACATTTTTTTCACAGGATAAATTTTACAGGCGACCGGTGCGGTCCTGACCGTGGCTATAAACGAATGTAACAAGCAGCTGTTTACGTTTAAGCATCAACTTTTACTGGATCACGAGAGTCGATTAAAGTTAGTTTGTTTGATTAATGGGCTGGGCAGGGGCTTGCTATGGATTTGGTGGCTGCGGGTTATACGGATTTTTGCCACGCACGCTACACGCAACGCGCGGATCTGCGTATAGGTTGCTTGACGCGGCCGTAGCAAAAACTGTAGCTTGGTCTTAAAGGCTCCTTCAAAAAGCTTTACAGGGTGTCCAAATATACACCCCCCTAACTCAAGGGGGACGGGACCTGACAGCTACACCCAGGCCCGTACGGGAGCCGAGATTTCGGGGGGGGGGAGACCCACCCAAAAAATTTTGGCGACCCCCCCCGTCGCCACTTTCAAAACATTCGAAAATAGCAACAATAACAGCGCCGCAGGCAAAAAAAAATTTAGAAAACCGCGTTCGTAACGCTTAAATTCGTGTGAACGGTGCGCGCAGGTTGGTTGGTGGATTTGGTTCGGCAAAAATGGTGCACTAATGAAAACGAGCGCCGCACGCAAAAAAAATTTAGAAAAATAGGTTATCTAGAGGTAAAAATCGTCTCGAAACAGTAATAAACAGCGCCGCAGGCAGAACAAATTTTGCGAAAAAAATCATAAGGGTCCCCCCTTATGAACTTTTCGGACCTCGACCGATTTTGGGGGGAGCACCCCCGGTGCCCCCCTCGTACGGGCCTGGCTCCACCATTCGAAAGCCTTCAAAACGGCGAGTTTGTAACAATCTTCAAAACCATGTTTTTATTTGATCGTACCGTTTTACAAGGCATTGAAAGACACGAAGGGACGGCTTTCAAGAGCTTTCGAATGGTGCAACTTTCATTCCGATCCGACCCTCCTCCGTCGCGTTAGAATGTGCTTTTTTCGGGACACCCTGCATTCGGATTGTTTAGAGTCTCGACGAGGATGTGGGCATTCTTGGTCCTCGCCCAGTACGCATTCAACATTGGCATCATATTGATCAGCGTCCTGTTGATCCCGTTTGAAGAGGGGCCAACAGCGCCGGGCATCCAAAAACTACTCTCGGTATGGCCTAACACACCCGTCTGAAAATCTTTAGGACTACCCATGCATTTCCGACGTGATCAACCATCCGTTCATGTATTCGGCCCGCGACGACCCGATCCCTTACATAAATATACCTGTCATGTCGGCGTTTGGCTGCATTGCCGTGTTCATTGCTGTCAGCAATAATGTTGTGGTTAGTATTTTATTTTACTTACGGAATTTTCAAGTTATAAACCCCCGGATTTTGGGTATTAAAGGCCTCTGGGACGCTGGGGTACTCAGCCGCAGGCGTTGCGCCTGGCTGCAGAGGGCGGACACCGTCGCGGCGTACATAGGAGCGCCGCGTGGGGAAGGGGGGTGCTCGAGAAGGTCATTCCTTTCGGCCGCCCCTTCCGGTTTAGGCGTGTGGTATAGTGGATAGCGCGCTGGGCTGTCATTATCGTGGTGCGGGTTCGACCCCGCCCGGTGCAAACGTCTTTTGCTTTGCGCGCAAACCATCGTTCCAGAGGCTTTTAATAGCCTATCGCTAACGTAATTAAACCGTCAATATTTCCAGAATGTTGGTTGCATTAACCACTCCCTTCACATCCTCAAAGACGAGTCGAACCACATGAGCGCCGCTACTCGTCGCCTACAAACACGATTTCTCTTCACCCTTTGCATACAGGTTTGGAAGGTACGATTCTGGAGATTAGTGCCATCTTCAGAATACCATCCCGACCTTGGCTTCTGGGCTGCCGTGGGTTTACTTTGCATGTATATTGATTACAAAGCCTGTCGACCCGCATCCAGGTGAGACGTTTTTTTGGTATGCATTGCGTAATGGGTTATCGCTTCTCAACGCGACCTGTTTTCCCCTATCTCAAAACCACAGCAATTTTTTAGCATTCAACAACTTCCTATTCGCCCTCATCTGCTCGCATGGGTTCCTGAATTCAGTGTTTTTGATTGGCGTCAACGATGCGTATCGAAGAGCCCTGTTCAGCTTAATTTTCAGGTGGCTTTTTTCATGAAATAGGCACCGAAATCACTTTAGAAAGCAATATCCGCAGATGACCGCCCGGTTGAGCATCAGTTTCACACGGTCCAATGAGATTTGAAGGCTAACTACGTGCTACGTGTTCGAAACAGCTTCCACTTCCGGTTGTTGCGTGGAAATAAAGAATTTATTTTTCACCACCGCTCATTCAGAGTTACGCCTGAAAGCGGCCGACTTCCCTTCCCCAGTATCAGTTGCACACCCACCTGGCTCCACTCCCCAGTAGCCAGGGTATCCCTCCCTCTCATCGGAAATCAGCTTTGCGCAGAGTGGTGATAACGTGACCAATGAGAGGCTTCCTAACCGAGGTGCGTTTATTGCTGGCTGAAAACTGATCACCAACAATTGTCGCTTCTGCCCTGAAATAAGTAGTGTTGGCGTTATCTTTGAACTGCCCTCGGGGGCAGCAAATCAAATATAAAAAAGCTAAAACCTTGAACCATGAAAGCAAAATGTAAAAAATAAGGTGTTCGGTGGGTCGCTCATACGATGATGAGATGATGCTGGAGAAGTCAGAAAAACCTGTAGGCTTTGTCAATTGCAGTAGCTTTTGCGTCTTGCATCCCGTCAAGCAAACTCGATCGAATTTCTGAACAATGCCTCCCAGCCGGCGATGACGCAGTGTTGGACCACGTGTGGGGCCGGAGCTGCAACCTAGAAATCCCCCGATGAGGTATTTCTGTTTGTTTTCTGCTACCTGGCTGCCGCCCAGTTTGCGCCACTGGGCCCCAACCTAGCCCTGATCTCCAGCCTCAGCTCAGCCCCAGTCTTGACCCCCAGCCTAGTCTAGTCCATTATTGGGTGACAAAGCGGCTAGCATTGACCCGGTTGGGACCTCCAACTAATTTCTATAGCTAATATTACACATTGATGCCCAGCCGGGGCCAAAATTCAAGCGCTAATGTCAAATACAGCAACGGATCGAATATTAATTTCACGCCCAGCTCTAGAGGTGAGTTTTACGATTTTAGGGGCGTCGAAATCATGGCTGTAACCGCAAATTAAAATTGAAACATTATTTTCATGAGTCTAAGTGCCGTCTTTTTCAGAATGGGTCGAACTGCCGACGTATAGAGCCTCGACATCCGCCAGCCAATTCACACGGCCCGTAGCCAGGAGCAACGCGGAGGAGCGGTTGGAGGAAATCCTGCAAAGATTAAGCCCGACACAGAGGTTTTTAGTCCGCGGCTGTGTCTACGTTGCATGTTCAGGTATAGTTGCTGGCGAGTCGGTAAAATGGTGTCATCGCTCAAAATCAAGGCGTGATACCTTGGAGAGACGCTGACTCGGGAGCCCGAATAAACCCGTACCCAGAATTGGCCGAAACTTTGCACGCAACTAGAATCGGCCACGCTGATCATCAACTCGTCGTGTCCAAATTTGCTACCGATCCTCAAAACTCGCGATATTGAAGTTTTAGTGGCAATTTTCGCTCAGAGAAGTGCTTTGCGATGATGCCGTTTTTTATTTAAAGTTCAAAGTTATTTTAAGTAGCTGATCTGATAGAGAATTTTTTCTGATTCAAATGTTATATTTTTATTAAGTTCAGGGTCTCGCTTCTAGACGGTTCTGGTAAAGCTGTTTTATCGCAGGCTATTTTTTCACATACTTCCCATAGCTTATGATAATCGGAGTCCATAATGTCCAAGTATCGTCATATTTTCTAGTTTCTGAATTTCTAATTTTCGAGAAATCTAGTTGTAGAAGGCTCATATTCACAAAAAAAAATTCTGCCATGATGGCAATATTAATTTTCCAAACAATGGAAGCATTCTGAAAGAAAACAGAGCTCAGCGTGCATTGAGCGTGGAACTGGAAGCGATTGTTTCAGGCGGCGGCGATTCAGTTGTGGCCGCAACTCTTCAGCCAATTTCAGGCCTGGAGTATCTGGCCTCTGCGAGCTTCCGCTGCCAGGATTTGACCGCTGACGCCCAAAGGCCCTTGGCGCTCCAACAGTGGCCCCAGATCTGCGCGATAACAGCATTTTGTTTCG